TTTAAATATTGAACTGAATAAAAACGTACTCCCTGTGCAGAGGTCTTGAATGAGAAAATTAGCTACAGAGACCAAAACGGTTTCTCATACCAGAATGTAAACTTGTTTATTTTTGCTGCAAAGTTGGACATTTTCTCATGGAGGTCAATGGAGACTGACTCGCTTTTGGAGGCAGCCTCCAGTGGACATTAGAGGAACTGCAGTTTTTTTTTTTTTTTAGCTCCAGAGATTTCTTTTTGTTTGTACTTTTTTTTCCTGCAGTGGTGAATTAATGACACCAAGTAGTTATTTCAGTGTCCAACCTGCATAACGATGAGCATTTTCTGGAAATATTTCTGAAATTAGTGCTTCAGCTGCAGCCTAAACATAGGACGTTACTTGAAATTTAAAATTCATACTTGGAAATATTCATGCACAAACTGTAAACTTTGATGCATTTTCCAGTTAAAGCTGCTTCCAGCTTAGCAAATGTTTCAGTGTTATAGAAGTAGAGTCAAAAATGGAGACCTCAGGCCCATGTGAGGAATTAAATCCTCGTGTAAGAAAGCTCTTTTCTGGAAGTACAGAATAAAAACTTGAGGTTTCATTGGTTAAACTTGTCAAAACAAGCCAATGGAAAGGAGTTTTGTGTTCACTGTCGTACGATAAATAAGCTAAGTAGCTCTTTGAGAGAGATGCTGAACAAATTCTGTCTTTCTTTGTGTTGCATCATAAAATGAAAATTAACCAACAACCAGCAAAAAGGTTTTTTGTGTTTTTGAGGTCAGAGCAGTTTTTCCACAACAATACCTGAGTCTCTGTATGAATACCTAAACTGTTCTTCCTCTTTTACTATTACTTTGAGAAATATGAACCAATTCTAGCAAAAAAAAAGCTATAATAATGTGACAAAAGCAGTTATTGGATGTTGTCTAAATGCAAAAACAAGCTGTTCAGGAAATTAAAATAGTTGTAAAATTGGCATTTTTAAAGTTATTTTTCCAAACAAGAATTAACCACAATTATAGAAATAAAAATCTGACCAACTTGCAGCACTTCACAGTTTTCATTCTGCACACACACATTTCAGCTGCCACCAAAAACACCCACTTAGCCTTAATGGTATAAAAAAAACCTGTTTTCTTTTCCAGCTGAGCGACTACAGACTTTCATTACATCACAATGGGAACACGGTGAATTTTTAATGCTCGCCAGGGTCACAGTTCATTTTATACAACATGTTCCCGTTTGTGTCAGAACAAAATAAAGCTCCACATGTTAATATAACCCCGGCTGTGATATCTGTCCAGCGGTTGATTTAGGAGCCAGAAAGCTGAACTTGAACCGACTTTGCATAATTGTGGCGGACAAGTTATGAATAATTCAGTCAAACTAGGAGTTAAACGCTGCAGAGTTGTAATAATATCTCCGTATTTACTATCACTGGCCTGTAATTGTTTGTAACCTTCGCGATCTCGCGGTTAACAAACTCGCACCAGCGAACATCAGGCACGAGGAGCTGGAACACTTTGTTTATGGACCCAAAACACTGTTTTTCTCCAATTTTAGGGGAAAAAAAAACAAAAAAACGAAGCTCCGTCTGCTGTCGTCTGCAGCGCTGGAGGCTTTCCTGCAATCTGGCGAGCATCTGATTGTTATTTAGGCCTCATTGTGCCGTTATCATGATAAAAACGCTGCGCTGGGGCCCGAGGGCTCCATAAAGAAACCCAGAGAGGTCTAAATTGAGACCGTGACTGACATCCGTCGCGATGTCGGCGAGAAGGCTGTAATCAGAGCTGGCTTAGTGTAGACAGTGGGAGCATCAATCCCTCCCTAAAAAAAAAAGAAAAAGGAATCCTGGCACAGCCTCAGAGCCGGAGGGTTACACACAATAGGAGGACATAGCTGTCTGCTCGACTTACTTTAAAACGTCTTGGATCAGAAAACGAGAATCGCGCTCGATGTCGGGTCTCATAAACGTTACAGAAGTTCCATCAATACTTGTGAACACCAACGATTGGGTTTGAGCTTCCCAACAGGGAAAAGTTGGTCAAGAAATTCCAGATATAAATGTTGATTCTTTAGGATGAAGCTCTTGTCATTTCTTCTGAAAACGCATGAGTGAACTCTTAGCTTGAATTAGATGTTTTATGAACTTCAGCGCAGCAAAATTAGCTTCGCTCTTGTAATTTGCTTTCACTTTCTTCATTGTGAAGCTCCACGTTCAGGAGTTATATGAAGGCTAACTCAAAGAAATGTTCACTTAACGATAAAAAAACACCTTTTTACAACAAAAAAAAAAATCACTGTACAGCTCAAACTAATGAATTATGTGCGAAAGATATCATGTCTTAGCTTCTTTTAGCGACTTGTTTTGGTTCTCCAACTCAAAACTCTGCTCTATTATTTGACTAAAATACACTGAACGCTACCTGCCTGGTAACAAACACATAACGTTAGCAACTAGCTGCTAAACACAATAAAGCATTTAAAGACAATGTGGCAAAAAACTGGACTTGCATTTTTCCAGATAGCCGGAAATATCCAAAATATACCGTCACATGGTCTCACATTTACAGCTAAATGGTGCTACTAGCAAGTTAATTCACTTTTACTTTAACTCACCTTTAAGATTTTACATAGTTTTCTGTGCTTTCCCAAATTTGACTTGAAGGAACAACAGTAGAATAACACTAATTACAGATGATAATTTTAGTCAACAGGCCATGAGTGTTTGGCGTCGCAACTAAACGACAACCTCAGATGTTTAAAAATAAAGCGTCTGCAGTTCCTAGAATGTCCACTGGAGGCTGATTTCCCTGTAGAGCTCCATGTTAAAATGTCCACATTTACAACAGAAATGGTTTCTGTAGCACAAATGTTTATGGAAATAGTCGATTGAGACGAACAGCTGGTGGTGCTTTGCTACTGCAGAACAAAAGAAGCTGCAGTTCCTTGAACGTCCACTGGAGGCGTCCTCCAAAAACGAGTCACCCCCATTGACCTCCATGTCAATACGTCCAACTTTGCAGCAGAAATAAGCAAGTTTACAGCCTAGAACACAAGGAGTTTTGGTCTCTTTAGCTAATTTCACCTTTACTGACTACTTTAAAGTGGTGATTTTTTTCGGTGTAACTCACTAATTTAATTGTATTTAAGCTTAAAGTTGCCAAGCTGCCTTTACCCTTCTCCATCTCTACAAGCAGAGAGGTTCTTCACTTCAACTTGTTACTCTACTCAGATCACTAAATAAGCGGCTCTTATTCCTCACCATGTATTATTTCCATCCATGTGTCCGTTCTTCGAGTTAAACATCGGGGGGCACAGTTCATATATTATGAAGATTTATGAACGAGGAGCTAAGCTATGAGGAATGGAAGCGTTAGCCCTCTTGTTTTGCTGACGTAGCAACACCCACAAGCCATCCGGAACTGTGTTAAGATTATTTTTTAACATGAAAAATGATGAATTTCTTATCTTTCTCTTGTCATCTGTGGCACTGAGTCCTTTTTTTAAAGCTTCTTTTTAAGGGGTTCTTCCTGTAATCACTGGTCAAACAACTGGTCGGTCATTTTCCTTTAAAGCTACACCTGATGTGGATGTGCATTAACTAAAGAATCCAAAACTGGTCTCGAGTTAAAGTGCTCAAAAACCCGCGGTGCCAAAATTGGCTGAATTTAACGTTCATCCAACCAAAACAACAGAAAACAGACTTGAGCTTTTCTTCTGTGTCATCATGCTGCATTTATGTTTTAACTCACTGTTCAACAAAAACTTGTCTTAATAATTTCTTCCCATTTGAAGCCTTTGCACTGTAATAACATGCAAAATGATGAAGTTTAGGGTTAATATCAAGAGAAGTGGGTTGATTTGATTTTGTATCACCGAGCTGCTCTGCAACGTGCAAACATTAAAACGCCGATTTATTGCAGCTTCAACTGGTCGGTTGTCGCTGCATCTTTAGAGGAACATATTTTCAACCGCTGTGACGTTATTCGGCAATAAAATTATGTTAATTTAGCGTCGCCTCCACCGCTTCGTGGCCGCAGCTACAACCCCTGATTTAAGACTCGTATAAAACTCCACCGACCGTGAAGACGGACGTGTGTGATTATGGAAGCATCTCCGCGCCTCAAACTGCTGCGCGACCGCCTCATATCTCCAGTTCTTATCTTTTCTTCCGACTCTGCACGTTCATCCAAGAGGCCTGATGAACCTCTGATCCCGTCTCTTCTCTGGATTTGTTTGTTCTCCCTCAAGAGGGCAGTGTTTGAATGAAGGAGCCTCCATCTGTCAGCACTCATCAAGTCACCGAGGGACGCCAAGAAACTCGCACATCACTTTATTCGAACCAGACACGAGGATGTAGAAAGTTGGGTTCTCGTGAAAAACATTAGTTAAATTCAAACGTGAACACGGGGGAGGAAGGAGGCTGACGAAGGGAGACGTGAGACGGCTGGATGTGTCTGCTGAGAGCTTTAATGATAATGTGTAATTAATGAAGAGATGAATGATTGAGTTGTGTACGGCCAAACGCTCCGTCTCCACAGAGGAGGCAGCTCGTTGCAGCAGTGGAACAAGCTGCGCCTGACGAGGTTCCGTCCAAAATAAACCACCTCGAAGATGCTTTTTGAGACACGTAATGCTGCAGAAAGAAGATGCATTTGTGCGCTTCATTTCCAACAACAGCAGCAGCAGCAGCACAGAAAGATGTTCACAAAAGCTGCTTTTCCATTTCCACGTCTTATTTTTTATACTTTCTTCCTTCATTTCTTTGTTCCTTCTCCTTTTTTTTGACTTTTTTTCTCCTCTTTTCTACATTTTCTCCCCTAAAATGTCATTCCTCCTCCTCTTTCCTCACCTTCTCCCTCTCATCTCTCCTCTGCTTTCCTCCCTCTCCTCTCCTCTCTGTCATCCAAACCTCTCCTCCTCCTTTCTCAATGAATCTCTCGGCCAGGTTCAAGCCCTCCCACTTTGTGTAAGCGCCTAATTGTCAGCCCCTGACGAAAACTTGCGTAACGCTTAAATACCGTGCTCGCCTTGTTGTTGCACTGAGACTGGAAACTTGTTCCAAGCGGGCATCTCTTGTGCGTCTTTTTATTTTGTTTTTTTCCCCCACCCCCTCTCTTCGTCCCGTGCGCTTTTGGTTTATTCCTGACCGAGCAGCATGCAGGTGTCTGTGGCCCTCCTCGTCTCCAGCGCGGCGCTCCTGCTGCTCCAGGGATGCTGCACCGCCGTCAAGGGATGGAAGGAATTAAAAAATGATGCCACGGAGATTTTACCGGAGTACAGGGAGAACGCACGGACGCCCCAGGAGGCGATACCGCAGGCGAGCAGCGGCAACAGCAGCAGCAGCAGCGGCAGCAACACGCAGAATAACAGGGCGAAAAACGGCGGCAGGGCGGCAAACACAGTCACCTACAGTGAGTATTCTGGGAAATCCTTTAAAAAAATCTTAATTATAAAGGTGGAATAAAATTACAAACAGCAGGTTTGTAATTAGTCATGCGCAAAACTGTTGTTTTACTTGCGCCTTAATTTGGAGCTTCGTGCGTAAAAGTGCGCAAATTGGCATTAAAGCGATTTAAAGGCGTGAATACATGTTAAACAAAAGATGCATCAGTTGAATCTTATTGTCATCGACCCCTTGTATGTGAACAAGTGCGCAGGAGCATAAAATTATATCTAGCTAATAAAACAACTGCAATTTACGCACGTTTTACGCACGTTTATGCTTAAATCTGCACTTAAATTGAGCTATTTTTAAATATTTTTTTTACATTAAATATTTAAATACTTGTGGTTTAGTTGCTTTGGACTCAAAAAAAGAAACAAATGTTTTAGAAATCTTCACTTTAAAGCTCAAACATGTCAAATAAATCCACCTTGTATCACCCACATTTAGTTGAATTGTGGTTTAATGAGCCGTTTTTTAAAAATTGTATTTTATTTAAAATGTGAGTTTTGTGGTAAATGTGGGGAATCCAGGCTGCGGATTTGTCTTTCTCAGCACACACAGACAACATTGTGCTTCGTTTTCACACCGATTCCCTGATCAGGAGCAGTTGAGCTGTGTGGGAAGAGTGTTTTAATGCAAAGATGTGGGTGATGAGAGAGGCGCACATTCTTTGCGGTTTCTTCCCCAACACATCTTGAAGCGGAGACACATCGGGGGCTTTTTCACTCCGTCGTCCAGGTTGTTTCCTTCTCTCTTTATACTATTAGTCAAGCTCTACTTACGGCATAACTATTTGATTGCAACAACATGTCGTCCCAAATAGAAAAAGCCCACAGTTTGTTCTTCGGAGGGGGTCGGGATGTCTTTGGGGGTTTCTTAGAAATTGCTTTTTAAATGCAACACTGCCTTTGACAATGATTCCCACCTGTGTCCAGTAAAGGTTGCTGCATGTTCTGATTGAGCGGGATAATCTCACGCTCGCTCTCATGGACTCGAGATGGGTGGTAGTTTTGTTTTTTTTTTTGTCTTCACTTAATCACGGCCGCTTGATTTTTGCAGATCAGAGGAGATGATTGATTAGATTAGAGGAGCAACAGCTGACAGGGGGAATTAGCGAGTCACGGTCAGTTAGTGTGACTGATTTTTTCTGTCTGTTTTGAGGATATTACCACCAAATTAAACATCATGTCATGCTTTACGCCGTGGTAGTCTCCCAAAAAAAGGATGGAAAACGCACAGGCAGAAATCTCCTGGATTATTTTCTCTTAGATTTGGTCCTCGTGGGGTCACGGCAGAGGCTTCGACCACTGCCTGGCCTCCCTCCAGTCCTCTCCCAAGGCTTGAACAGCTCACGCAACTCCACAGTAGTCCAGTGTGAGATCCTTTTTTTCTTCTTCTCCTTTCTTTCTTTTACAGGCCACCCTCATTAGTAACATGTTTTCAGAGTGGCAGTAGAGAGGAGGAGAGGAAATGTAGTGGAAAAGACTGGATTAAAACACACCAGTTGCTTGATGAGGCTGACTTTTTTTGGCGCACCATCGGCACAAACCGCTGCCCAGTGTGTGTGCTGTAGGCTTTGTGCACCACTGTGGTCCCTTCAGCCGCAGAATAACACTATATCAGGTTCTCATGGTGGAGAAAAAAAAAAAAAAAAGAGGAAGTCACCTCACATAAATCCTTTGTTCAGCCCTTTTTGCAAAGAAAGCCACAGAGGAAAACAGATCCCTCTCCGAGCGTATCATTTCTTAACCGACGGTTCTTTTGCCCCTTTTTTAACACACAGCTTGTAAAAGAGAAAAGAAAAAAAAAAAAACAATAACTCATGCATGCGGCTGTTAAAAAGCTGTGGCTCAAATATAGGATTACAGGCCGAGCGTGTTGTCTCAAATCAGTCTGGCACATGTCCAGTTCTTGCTCAGAAGTTGTAGCGCTGCCTTAAAATAACCAGACAGCTATTTACTCTTCCATCACCACATACGTTTCCTGAGGGCCAACGGAGAATGCCAGCGTTCTCTTCCAGCCCAAACCTCCGTTCGGTTTGATTGAGCTGTTTAATGGCCCTCTGGTCTGGATTTGCTATCAGCTGATTGCTGCCAGCTGGATTTCTTTGTCAAGCCCCGTTTGTCAGCTAATGATTAGACCATGAATCAAGATCAGAAACTCTGATCGGATCCCGAACCTTCACTTAAACGGACAAATTGCTGCATTAGGTTGAATTTATTAAAGCGTATTCTTGTCAGCTGCACTTTTGTGTCTCGAAATGTGGTCGAGTTTAAATGAAATGCAGCCTCCCATTATAATTTTATCTGGATTATGTTAGTTTTTCACTCAAATAACACAAAGAGTGACGTCAAGTCGACCTTAGTCTGACTCACAGAATGTAGACTGAGGGTTGAAGCCTTTTCATCGGCTTCCCTTCCTCTGTCTACGTCAGATTTTTCAAAATCACTGCTTAGAACAACAGTTGAGCTGCAACCTGCTAAACTTTTTTTTGCAGAAGGTCTGACAATGATAGTCGACTATGAATCAAGTTTTTTAGCCACATGTTGATGAATGACCACCTCTCCCTAATTTTAAACCTACTCTTAACTATTTAACTTATTAAACACCATAAAATTACACTTAAAATGCATAAACTTGACATGCAAAATGTTGCATCCCATTCATAGGTGTGATACAAGGTTCGTTTTTCACCTTGTCACCATGGCGATATTGGTGTTTTTTAAATGCTAGAAGCAACATCAAGAACGAAATTTGCAGTTGGTGCCATGGCTGAGCATTTGAAACCTTAAAACCGTCTCATAAACGCTGAACTTCAGACTTCCGGAGTTTCATACGCAACAAACCGAAAGAACCGATGTTGTCAACTTGCACGGTGGAACTTTCTGCATCATTCTTCAGGTCAGTTTCTAACACGCGTGGCTGAATTACTCCAATGTTACAACTTGCTGTTTTGTACTGCAGAGAAGTGGTGCGGTGTTCGAGCAGAGTCGCAGGTGAGCTGGTGTGCTCAAGCTAAAGCGTGTAAAGCTATAAGTCATTTTACGGTACGAAGGGAGTATTTTCACGCAAAAACAAAACAGTAGATGAGTTTTTAGGGGTTACATCGAAGCACCAGCAGAATGTAGATTTCACTGTGCAGCACTTGTTTTATGGCTGAATCCACGAGTGCTAACTGTGACACCGTTCATCCACCCAGGTGCCTCCGAGCTGAGCTGCAGGGAGCTTCGTTCGACCCGCTTCATCACCGACGGATCATGCCGCAGCGCCAAACCCGTCAGGGAGCTGGTGTGCTCGGGCCAGTGCCTCCCGGCGCACCTCATGCCCAACTCCATCGTCCGCGGCAAGTGGTGGCGGAGCAGCGCCTCGGACTACCGCTGCATCCCGGCGCACTCCCGGACGCGCCGGGTCCAGCTGCAGTGTCCCAACGGCAACACTCGGACTTACAAAATCCGCGTGGTCACCTCCTGCAAGTGCAAGCGCTTCAGGCCTCACCACAACCAGTCGGTGGCCAAGGAGGTGCCGAAGACGCAACGCAACAAGAAGCACAGTCGCTTGTCTCAGGATCGGAGCAAGAACAACACGCCGCTGACGGGCAACTCGTACTGACGCGGCTCTTTGAAGCATCCAGAGACCGAAGCACACTCATACGCACGCACATGTTACACGACACAAAACATATCTCCTTCGAATAGGAAGGAGGTGCAAGAGAAAATTCAGAGAGAGCGAATTCATAAGCTAATTGCTGGGCTGACTTTTAAGTCGTCAGTCTGTATTTTTCAGTCACTCGTCAGCATATTTGTGAACTTCTTTTGCTTATTTGCATGACAAACGTGAGTCAGTGCCACGGCTTGCCGCGACGGTGAGTGGTCAGGAGATGTAGCACCGCCTCCATCTGATCACTCCAACAGCTCAAAAACCTCCCTGGGCTGGGCTCGGTTCTCCACCCGAGCAAGATTTCGCTTAAGCAGAATGAGAAGTTCCTCCCCGAGGCTTCGGCACCATCTGTGCAAACATCCAGCGGCTCGGTTTAGAGCTGAGAAGGCGCATCTTCGCTCCAGAGTGGTTGTAATCTGTCTCCTTTCGGCTGGAGATGGTGGCAGCTCGGGGGGCTCCGATGGCGGGATGTTGACAGGTTCTAAGAGGCCCAGTCTGCGCTCTCCGACAGCCCACTAAAGGCCTCACTCATCGGGAAAGACCTACAGCGATCTCCAGCCTCCGACTACACCTGCCGGGTTACGACAGCGCTTTTCCCAGAGAGAAACCGGTGGAGAAAGCGGTTCTGTCAAGGGGGGCATTCCTGTGACTCCTCTTAATTACTTTAAATGAGCCCATTCCTGTGTTAGGACTTGAGTCATAAAAAGCCATTTCCTCCAGCCAGTTCCTGTTTGCTGGATTCACACACACACGAAAAGAAAAAAAAAAAGTGCACATGGCGTGTAGGAGGCATCAGAAAATGTGCGCGGTTATGTTGTTACCTAGGGGCAGAGCGCTCTCCAACACACCCACACTGGAATTTTCTTTTTGTGCCGGGCCAACCGGAGCAGCGATCGACGCATCCGCAGCCAAAAACCCATCTGTTGTGTCGAGCCTGCAGGATTCACCGACACCTTCCACGCCTTCTCCGCTGTAAATAGCTCAGACAGGAATGATAGGCATAAAAATAACAAAAATGAAAACAATAATTGAGTTTTTTTTTTTTATCATTCTGTCGAGGAAGCGGCAACGACTCCCTCAGAATTGGACAATGAAGAATCATGTATCTCGTCAGCACTGCGTTGTTTTGTTTTTTCTCTGTACTGGCTTCTTGTTTCCTCTCCAACTGTGTGTTTGAAATAGCGACTGGAAGTGGGGTCTTGTCATGTTTAGCGAGCGCTGCGATGTGATTGTACATATCATACCCGTGTGGTCTTCTGTTGAGGAGGAGCTGGGAGGGAGGCGGGGCTGCTCTCTACAGACACTAAGAAGGACTGTTATAAAGAATGAACTGCATATTTATTTTTTAATTTCCACATTTAAATTATTTATGCAACCTTTTGTAGTTAAATGATAGCCAATTATTGTCATATAGTATGATAGAGACTTTGGAAGTGAGAAACTGTACAGTACATGAATAAAGTAAAGGCAGATATATTTGAAAGAGCTTGTTTGGCGTCATTTATATTTGTTGCTGATTACTCATTACTAGCAGTGTGTAAAGAGTTGGCTTTAAACCTACTGTATTGTAGTTACATGCAGATATAAATGCATTTGTGAGCTCCTCCTGTGGGAAGCTGACATTTTGAGGGTCAAATAGTTCATTTCTGCACCGATTTGTGCTTTTTGTGCATCATTTTATGGTGGAAATGTCTTTATATAAGCAACAAAAACAAACACAGCAGGTGACAATTCAGAATATAATGAAATATATATGGGTGTAATTCCATTTTCCACATCAGACTGAGTGGTTTTATGAGCTCATAGTTCATATTTAAAGAGTAAAAGACTGCACTAAGGAAAAAAAACTCACTTTTATTTATCTCTTTGACGCTCTACATCTATGCTGGTATTATAAACGGCGCTCATGGCAGGTTGTTTCATTATTTAATCGCTTGACTATTGCACATATTTGCAGTTTAATTCTTATCAAAAACATTTCAGACGTCCACAATGTTTTCATCCAGGACAGATGACGTCACTTTTACCTCGTTACTGATATCTGCATCTGAATTATGACTGAAGTCTGACTGTAAGCTGCAATTATAGCTTCAGCTCAAGACATCTTAGAAATCAAGTTTGAACTGGTCACAATGACGTAGATATCGCTGCTCGGTCAAAACGTAATTACTGATATGCAGAATGACAGTTTTGACTTGGAGAAATCTGCGCTAGCGTCAGAAGCTAATGTGAGTCGAAGGCAGACGGAACTTTTTAATGTGTCATGTAAGAGAAGCCTGAGGCCAAAGTTCTAATAAGTTTCAGCTCCAAGTCTCTGATGAACAAAGCTTTCAATTTCACTGCATTTCTAACCGTCTTCACCACCACAAGACATTATTTATTCGGCTTTAATAGACCAACATCCACCAGAAAGCCTCACATGAGCAGCATCAAGCCCAACAGCTCCATGTTTGGGATGTCTGACGCTATTACTGCTGCTTTGACTGATCAGAATGACGCCGGTGAAAATCTGTAATTTTAATTCTGGTCAGATTCAGCTTGTAAATATTAACAAAAAGCTTGCCACAGGTACTTGGAGAGTGCAGACCTCTGTCAAGGCCAATAGTCCCAGCTTGCATTTATAAAGAAACTGATCTGTATCCTCTCCAAAACTTTAATGGGTTCCTCCTTGAGCCGCGCTTCACCTTTCTGCCAAGTTTTATAAAATTCAGCAAAGCTTTTGTTTAGCCCTGCCGACAGACCAAAAGACCAGAAACAACATCGGGAACATGACCGAGGTAAAAACAGTCCTGAGAGCGTAAACGAACGGTGGAGAGCGCGGTCCTCCACCAATGGCGAATAAGCGCTATCTCGCAGTGTTTAAAGAAAGCGATTCAGATCTGCACCGAAACTTTATGGGTTCCTCATTTCCTCTACTCGTCCGCCAAGTTTCAGGAAATTCATCCTCGTGGTTTAATCCTGCAGACGGACAAACAAACGGCACCGAGAACAAAACATCCACAGAGGTTCCGCCTCATTGCCGGAGGTAATCAATGCAGCAAAACACAGGTGTAACAGCGTCAACTAGAAGTCTGCTGATGTCGTGCAACTTTTAAAAAAGGTAGTTCAGATCCACACCTCATGGGTTCTTCCTTTGGCCGTGCTGCATCTTTTCGCCAAGTTTCATGTAATTTGACCAGAAAGTTTTTGTGCAATCCTGCTGACAGACAAAAGGCAAAATAAACATTACATCCGTGGAGGATTCACCTCCTTGGTGGAGCTAAATAAATACTGAGAAAAACATAACTAACAGGACACTCTGAGAGAACAGACCTCCATCGAGGCCCACAATCCTGCCTTGTAGCTTGCAAGAAAGAAAGAAAGTTAACCAGTTTTGCATCAAAATGTCATTGGTCTTCCTCGGACCATGCTCTCCTTTGACACCAAGATTCATGAACATCGGTCGGGTAGTTTTTGCGTCATCTTGCGGACAAACGAAATGAAAACATTACCTCTGCTTCCTTGACAGACATAAATGTCTTCACAGGAGAAAGTATAAGTGTTGGTACATAGCATACAAACACAAATGCTTCATATGTCCTTAAATCTGTAACTATACGATGTACAATAAGTTATTCAGTGTTTTTATTGTGGTTATAAATGCCACATACTGGAGCTTACAGTGAAGTGTTGCAGTGTTGCTTTAAGTGTTCAGGCGTCGATGTCTGTGCAGAGAAATGAGGCTGTTAGGAAGTTGAGGTTCACCACTGTTTGTCTGCACGGCTCTGCAAAAGGAAGAAGAATCCTCTCTCTTGACATCTCAGTCACCAACATTTCTTTGTTTATGAGGCTGCAAATAACCCTCCATTCCCGTCCGCCTCTCCTCCCTCGAGGCCCGAAGCTCGATGCACCGTGAAAGTCCCGAGTTTCGTTGTTATATCTGGAGCTCGCCAGCGCTCACTGAAACTTTGGACTTGTGCAATCCGGGCACTAAAAAGCGGCTTAATGAGGTATTTACTTTTAATTACCGGGACAAGAAGCGCCTTAAATGGCCAAATAAACCGGCGTGCAAACACAAACAGAAAAATCACTGTGGTAACTGTGACTGAGGGCTTGTTCCGAGTCGTGCCAACGCAGAAACAGTAGATATTAAATTTCACTACATCATCTATAATGTGCAGTCATTATGTCATTTTCAGGCGCTGTTTTCCAAGACAGAGCAGACATGCCATGCTTTTACTCAGGCAACCAGCGTGGAACAAGTTTCCCCAGAAATTCAATCACACGTCCTTAAGAGCGAACGGTACCGAAATATATTGATGCTGACAAAGCATCTGTGTGCAAAAAAACCACGACCCACGAGTGACCCTTCACGGACCGGAGGGAATAACGAGGAGCCGAGCGCGATCGACTCCCAACAAACAAGTCCACGACACTTCGTTTAGGCCTCGAGTGTCATCAATGGAGGGTTGGATACCAGGTGCAGGAGTCCCTGAGGATCCCTCCTCTGTTACAAGTGCAAGAAACAGGATTCAATTAGGCGGCAAGAGCGAACAAACAGTTCTCAGATGAGTCATGGTCTCTATAAGGAATATTTATAGACCTGACATACAGGCCGCGATAAATGATTACTGGCTTCCTTTGTCCGAATGTGGGCGAAGAAATGATAGGATTGCAGGGGGAGCAGAGCTTCAGCGAACTCTCTGTTATCTTTCAACTGACAGTTTCTACCAGATAATCACAGTTTCCCAGCAAAAACGCCGCTGCAGCGTGATAATCAACCCGTCTCCCATCGCGCCACGTCCTCAGTCTTAACTTTTTAGCGACAGCCGAGACGCTGCCTTCCCAGACGCATATTTTGGGTCCCGCTTTGAACTCGGAAAAAGGCAAAATATCTACTTTCAGCTCTGCGCAGTGCAATGAAAACTTCTTGTTTATCACAAAGTTGTCTTGAAAGCAGCCACTTGAGCGTCTTAGACACTGTCAACACAAGGCCTCACTGATGTGCTGCCAAATGCACAAGAGACAGTCAAATAAAATAGATTGTATATCATGTGCAAATAAAGAGAGATGCTCGACTGGTGCTTGTTTTTGCCAGTGGAATCCATCTTACAAAAGCAAGCAAGCTTCTGCTGTTGACTGCAAACAGAACGAGTGGAAACTGAGGTACATCCATAGCATGTGAGCAGCTTTCTCTCACATGCCAGCAGCTAAAACACATAAAAAGTGTTGGGTTTCTGGTCAGCTGCAATCCAGTGTTTCAGGCTGCCCGAGATGGAATATATTTTCCTTCGTCGTACAGCACATAATACCCCGACTCTCAGTAAAGACTACATTAAAATGCCTCTACACCCCAGTAGTTTTACCTCCAGGCCTTGCAGTCAAACTTTTCCAGGAGCGGATATTATTGCTCCGGTCAAACACATGTGGACGATGACGGATGTACTCGGAGACGGATGTTTGTGCTCCACCAACCACTCCCTTATCAGGTCATGAGCGCTAATAGCTTATAACAAATGGAAACCAGAAGAGACGTCTGGCTGCCTAAAGGAATGAGGAAAGCACAACTAATTCTGTGTTCTTCTGCGGCGATCCAGGCCTTTTGGAAGGTGGACATTCGTAAGCTGAGAGTGTAATTCTCAGCAGGGAGGGAAGAGGAGAAGCCGGGGTCAGGGCGGAGACCGAAGACGAACTCCGATCCTGCATCCAGACGGCATCTTAAGTAGGGAACGATATGGGTTGATCAGGGCAGATACCAATGCTGATCATTAGTCACTGAGAAAGACAAATAACATTTTGAACTGATATACAGTAAATATGAACAACATTTAATAGCAGGGAACCTGTCATTTATAACTAGACTTCTTCATTATCAAGGCAGCTCCCAACAAGAGAATCATTCCACCTCAGTTCACCAAATTTTACAAACATTCACGCTTCATCATCTTGTATTTGTCTAATTATTTTCTGTGCATGTTATTAACTAAAGCGTATGAAATGTGGGGTCATGGGTAAGAATAGTGTTTGAAAAGTCTTAAGGGGGTTGATTTTTGCACCAATCTGTGGAGCAGTGCTGATATTGGTCATGAATGCAAAAAAACACAATCATTTTAAAATACTTTTTTCATAACCTAGGCCTCTCACTGGCACTGTTCTCTACATTTGTAAAGCTCCTATTAGTTCTAATAACGAGATAAAAATTCAGCCTCCTAGGGTGAATAACAAAGGATTTATCGTTGGTCGAATACCGGAATAGAAAAAAACATGGACAGTTTTTTGACCAAATTTGCACCATTGTATAATTGGTGTCTAATACATTATCACAGCAGTGTTGCACCATTGAAAACTACATGTAAATACCAATGGGTCTGCCAAATTTCAGGCCTCTAGCTTCATTACTTCTGAAGTTATGGCTCTTCAAACATTGGTCCACAGATTGGTGTAAAGAAAATGGCGCAAAAATCAACGTGACCCCACCTTCTCTACGAATTTTGACGTCAGAAT